AAAAAAAAAAAAAAAAAAAAGGTCTATCTTAAGCATTATGCTCTTTTAAGAACTAGCTATATGAGATCTGAACAAGTTGACAACAGCAACTCGAAAGATATGAACATTAGGAGACAATAAGTTTATGTTAATGAGGGAAGAACAACTCAGAAAGTAGGTTGAGAGTGGTTATATAGCTCAAAGAATATAAGCAGTGTTACTCTATTGTACATGTAGAAATTGTTGAATTGGTCTATATTTTGCTCTGTATCTTCTCAACAACAAAATAAAATGTAGGAAAAAAATATGTAGTTATGTTTCAAAGTGATACATACTATAAAATAAAAACGAAGTGTTACAGTAGTATATAGGAGGGATCAATAAATGTGGTGAGGTTTCAAAGAGAAAGTGACATTTTAGCCCTGTTTTGAAGGATGGATAAGAATGTATTTGGAGACAGAAAAACTGGGGGTAGATATTCCAGGAAAGGAAATAGCTTATGCAAAGACCTACAGGTATATGAGAGAAAAATAACCAGCTTGGGAGCACAGTGCCTAAGATATCTGACTGCTAACCAGAAGGTTGGTGGTTCAAATCTACCAGCCACTCCACAGAAGCAAGACTGGGCAATCTACTTCCATAAAGATTTACCATCTTGGAGCTTGGAAATTCTGCTATGAGTTGGAATTGACAGCAGTGGGTTTGGTTTGGTTTTTGGTTTGAGCAGTGGGAAATCTCTGATGAATTTTGCATTAGGGTTGACAGATTTAACTCACAGAAGTTTGGGGTCAAGGGGAAGAAAAAAAAAGTAGCACACACTAATTTAAAAGCTGTTGTATATTTCCAAGGGTTTGCACTAAGACAGTAGCAATGAGGATAGAGAATTGCTTTATAGAGAAATTTGAGAACAGTAGGATTTTGTGATCAATATTATATGAGAAATGTGAGGGAGGGAGGGAGGAAGGAAATCTGTCTTGGATGACTAGGTGGATAGGTTATTAACTGAGGTGGGGGAAATGTAAAAAGAAATACAAATTGTTCATTTTGCTTTTGTTAGTTTTTGGCAATGAGATGAGTTTTATTTGGAGCTAGGTAGATTTAACTAGACTTGGAAGCTCTGTGGCATTTGACTGCTAACCAGAAGCCTGGTGGTTCAAACCCACCAGCCACTCCTCGGAAGGAAGACTGGGCAATTTACTTCCATAGAGATACTGCCTCGGAAACCTAAGGAGGGGTCGCTGTGAGTCAAATTTGACTCGATGGCAGTAAGGGTTTTTTATTGGGTTTTTTTTTTT